CTCTCGCTCTCTCTCTCTCTGTCGTCTGTAGGTGTATTTCTTGCAGTGCCGTCGGGATTTTGCTTTGCTTCATCTAGAGCAGACGGAGAAGGAGTGTCTCGGCCAGCTTTCCAGGGTGACGCACATGGCGGCAAGGTAACCTTCCCCTCTTGCGCGTCCTGGTTAGAGAGAGATTTGCAAAGGGCTCCAAGGTGAACCTAATCCGTCAGGTGTTTTGCATATATGATATCGACCTTTGGAGTGAAGGAGCCCCCTTGAGTTTTCAAACCTCAAAAGACATTTAGGGGCTTTGATGCTTTGGCTTTGTTTCCTCTGCAGCAGCACTGTGAAGTCTGCTCAGTGCAGTCACAGCTGCTGATAGACAGATTTCCTTCCTCCGGGTGGAATAGATCAAAAGTCACAGTCAGAGATGTACACAAAGACCAGACCTTTTACAAAGCAAGGTGCATTCTCATTGGGAAACTTTTCACGATCGGCTCCTCCTCTAATGTTTGACGTGACGTCGGCACAGTGCCTGAGGAGCCGTATCTGACCCCCCTGGCGTCCCTGGTTCCAAGTGACAGAGGTCAAACGTGTCCTTACCTACTCTGACCCCAGCTCGTCTTCCCGCGGCACTCTACCCCTATGCTGGCATTGATAGGTCATTACAGCAGCCGCACAGAACCCACAGACAGTCCTTGCCAGGAAGAGGATTTATTTAGGGACGTGAGCCCTGCAGGTCAGTGATGAAAACTGACCACCCCCTTCTCTTAGTGTTACACGTGCCCTATGTACAGTCACACCCAATCATTTGGTGGGAGTTACAGAGAAATGGGGAGAAGGGCCATATTAAGAAATTTCACTCCACCACCATGCAAATCAGAACAGTTTTTATAATTATTTTCTCTCCTAATGATTGATGCTAAATACTTTTGGAATAGTTTGGGAGAAATAATCACCATTGGCATCTGAAATCACGATAAAGGCTTTTTGCTGCTGTACTCTAGCTGAGTGGATGTCACATAGTAGCGAGGCTGTCAGCAACCCCCTCAAAAGTATGATTTTACATACCTTCCAACTTGAAACTGAAATAACTAAGTTACAACCGCCTGAACCAAGACTGCATTCTTTTTAATGATGACCATGTTAATGATCCTGATTATTATTTAATTTGAAAGAATTATATCTCTGATATTTAGCTAGCGTCCCAGGATATTCTGATGTTCATTCCGGTTGGAGACTCCTTGTTGTGATTTGTCCATCTGCTTGATAATAGGGCTTTAGAATTTTATGAGGAGAATCTAATCTCATTAATAACTTACTTTGCCCTTTTAAAGCTATTATGACGATAGATCCTTGAGTGGGGGATATTATAACAGAGAAGAAAAGCCTCATGAAATATTTCTTCTACACAGGACAGCTGCCAGAGTGTTTTTGCTTTAGTAAAATCTTTTGGTGGGTATGAATAGTCTGAACTTGTGTTGTTTGTGCAATTTGTGCACTGGATAAAGCCACAATCGAAGTATCTCAGGAATGGTACTATTTTCTAATTTGCCTTTCCTGAGAGAAGACCTTTTTCTAGTTTATAACGAAGCTGGACAGACCAACCACAGCCATATGAAAACTGAAAACCAAACACTGCAGCCCCATCTGTTCTAAAGCATGCTGACCTTCTTACCTATAGGGCAGAGTAGGACTGCCCTTTAGGGTTTTCCACACTGCCCATCTCATTGCGGCAGATAACCTCACCTTTCTCCCACGGAGGGGATGGTGGATTTGAAACATTAGCCTTGCATTTTAGCAGCCTGATGTTTAACACTCTGTGCCACATAAGTCACCTGTGTCCATGTGAAGATGGTGCCAAACCAGCTTACAAGATGAGTCAAACATCCCAAACATTCTCAAACATCATTGAGAATGTTCCTGTATTAAGTAAATTGGAGGAATTCCCAAATTTGACTTGAATGGTTAAAACTTTGTCAGCATATCCCCCTATGGTGCATGCTAAATCTGATTTGGTTTCCAAAATTTTGTGTACTTTTGGATTGTATGTTTGGTTTCTGTTTGTAGGTATTATGGTGTATCTCAGAGGTTTAGGTCATTGGTGTTGCCCTCTTGAAGTTATGTTACATGTTTGTTTTTTTCATTTTTCAGTATATGAAACACAGGATCGATGAAACTATAGCGATAGCAAGCAGAATAAGGGTTTCTGGGGAGGGGTCAGGGAGTGTGCAGGGGCAGGGGATGAAGTGGAGACGATGCCCAGGAGTCCAGGTAGGAAAGGAATGTTTGGAAACTGAGGTACAATTCTACTGGATGTGATTGAACTATGGAACGATATGATAGATGTGTTAATTCCCAATTAATAATAAATTTGTTTCTTAAGTTGCAAATTAGCTCCGAAGAAAGGATGTCACCAAGATATAAAAAGACTTATTCTTCTAGAAGCATAAGTTATATTTGCTATCCAAACAATAGCTATATGGCTTGTCTATACCTCTGTGTCTGCTGGAAACAGTTGTTGTTCAAGCAACTTTGTTGCTGCTTTACAATATTTACCTATGTGCTAGAGAATATAGTAGAAATGTTTCATACCTAAATGAAATGTAAAAGGAAAGGCCTAGATCATCTATCTTTTTTTCAATAATAGCAACCTGGAATCACTCCAATTAAAGGCTGCAGTGGATAGTTGGAATGCCATTGTGATTGATGTTAGAAACAAGATTGCATTCCTCAAGGTAAGCCCTGAAGTGCATTTAAAGTAAATTGGCTGAATGTTGCAGGTGAGATATGTGTAAACATCTAACATTAAAAACCATTGTTAGAGAAATTTTAGAGAGATCCTATTCTTTCATTTTAGCTTTTATCATTTATATATTCTATTGGGATCAATCGCTTCTATTTGCTACATGTAACTAACATTTCAGATTTATACACATATTCACTAGCTCCTTATGTGATCCCCAGGAAACGATCAACTCAAAAATTGTGCCTCACATCTAGTTTACCTAGCATTTCAAAACTAATTATGTCCTAATAAAAAAGAAATGTCTTGTCTTGGTAAGACCAATGATCTATTTAAAAAATTGTAGGAAAATAAAATCCGTCTGTATTAGTTTCAACTTAACTTTTAAAATGTCTCCCATATGCAAAATAACAATTTCGTAATTATTGATCTAATAGCAGTAGGACCTCGTTAAAGGGAATCTAGAGGAATACCTATGAAATATTTAATAATTCATTTATGCTTATACTTACGTTTATGCTTAAAATTTTTTCACATTTATATTTATGTTTTAAGGTGGTATGTCTTCCTTACTTTAAAGATGTGTGTGTCTCTGTATCTATTAAATTATTCCATGCTAATTTTTGGTGTGGTTTCACAATACTTTCTGCAAAACCATGAAGCCCAACCCTGCAGAGCTGTGTCAGAAAGGCACGGGTCACTCTCCGGTCCTTCCCTCATGGTCTCGCTGTTTCTCTTCCTGACTCCTCCTTTGGTCGTCTTCAGTGATAGCATTTTTGTTGCTTTTCTTCAAAGTTCTGTCCTTGAAAGAACTAGTTCCTTGTTCTATTTCAAACATATGTCTCTGTGGAAATTTTGGAATGTTTTGATTTATAAGCTCTTTTCTCTAAATCCTGTGGGTTGTTTATAAAGTAATATAGTAATGAAAAATTGTGACAATACCAAGAAATGTTGAAAACGTATTAAACTTCAAGGATTAGTGTCTTATTTCTGACAGAAATTCAAGAGAATAAAGGAAAATTAGATGTGGGGCTAGAATTACAGGGTTGGGGATAAATAAAATGTAGCTATTGAATGAAAAATGCTCACATTTCTACACAAGTTTTAAAACTTTTGGTTACAAATACATACACTCGTTATTTATTAGCTAGTATGTTGCTTATGGCTTGTTGATCCTTTAAGAACTTTATTCACTTTACGAGAGTAAGTCAAAAAGTGTTGCTTCCAGGCATATGATTCATACATGCACAGGTTTATTCCAGTTACAGCATGCTTTCACATGCCTCTGTCTTCAGTAGATGGCTCTCAGTAGAACACCCATTAATGAACCTTAAAAAATCCCAATCAAAGCAATAACCTGCTTGGTCAGTTCAATTCAAGGCAGAAAGGTCAGTTGTAAAGGTTAGGGAGACTATTCCTGGGGACTCTTAAGGGGTGATCTTAATAGATCAGCTTGAAAGAAATAGGACCATCATGAGAGTTAATTATGAAGAAGCTTGAAGAAAAATGAAAACTGCATCATGAGAAAAAGCCAGGTCAGTTGCTCCAGAAATTGTGTTTTCATTGCGATCAAGCACCTGCTCGTTCTTTGAAGGCAGTAAGAGCTTCCGACAAGAGCATGAGTCTGAAAGACCAAAGGGAAAGCCTGACTTGAACGGGGAAACCCTTGTCAGCTGAGCCCCCTCTGACACCCTTGGCTGATCTGGTTGTCAGCATTTTCTGTTTCTGTCTTTTCTTTCATGTGTTCATATTGGGGTTTATCTGAGATGTGTTATTGGGGGTCACCCTCTTGAATTTGTGTTATATGCTTTCCTGTGTTTGGGTGTGCAAAACCCAGGACTGATGAACCTGAAGGGACAGCAAGTACAATAAAGGTTTAGTCGCGGGGAGGGTGGGGGGGAGGAGAGGGCAGGGGTAAAAGGAAGCTGATGTCAAGGAGTCTAAGATGGAAAAGAATGTTTGGAAACCAGTTGTGGCATCAATTGTACAATACTGGTCGATGTGATTGAACTAGGGAATGATATATGTATTAACTCCCAATAAAGAAAAAAAGAATTTCATTTGTAAAACATATCCTATCTACCCTACCACCCTGATTTTGCCCTTTCAGGCTGCTTTTGAGTCCCAAAACTCAAGAATATTTACAGAAATAAAACTTGAATTCCTTAATCATGCCAAACTGCTCTTTTGGGGTGGTATACATTGGTAAGCCCAGAATTCTTCAGGCAAGGGTTAGAGAGCTAGCATACTGCCTTCAGAAGTGTAGAGACCTACATGGAGGTTATGTGGAGAAACAGTAGTTCCACCTTTTAATATTTTTGTTCAATAAGGACTCATTTGATTTTGTATCAGTGTTTGTTAACCTACTCTCATATACCAGTGGTCCCTGTTTGAGGGCTAAAGATTATGAGGACTGAAAAATTATTACAAGGGATGTGAATTATATCTCTGAATTTTTTAAATTAAGAGACACTTCTAAAAATGCAACTGTTCATATGCGGGGCATGAAAAAGTTCTAGGAAAAATCCTATTACCTTTCAATTCCATTTTTACAGCCCCATTTTGAAGCTCCCTTATGTGTGATAGCGGTCTATAGCAGTGATTCTCAATCTGTGGGTCATGACCCCTTTGGAAGACAAACAACCCTTTCAAAGGGGTCGCCCAATTCATAACAGTAGCAAAATGACAGTTATGAAGTAGCAAAAAAAATAACTTTATGGTTGGGGCGTCACCACAACATGAGGAACTGTATTAAAGGGTCGTGGCATTAGGAAGGTTGAGAACCACTGGTCTATAGGATTGTCTCTGTAAAATATAGGTTCTTCATCCTGAAAAGGTTCTTTATTGGATTATTAAAAACTATACATTAATTATTCTCCTGTGACATGTCTTTGAAGTTGATTTTACCCAGCTTACTGTTTTTCTCCTACTAGACTCAGTACAATGAACAGATTAACAAGGTGAAGCAAGGATTTGCCTTGAGCACTCTGCCTCCAGTACAGCTTCCGCCACCGCCACCCCACCCGGACATACTGGTAAGAAAGATATGGTTTTGAGAAACTACCATCTTCACAAGGACGCGGTGGTCAAGGTATCAAACACTGAGCATGCGGCATGTCTCATGTGTTTCCCAACTGGAATAATAGCTGGCTGACTGTGAGAGGCCTAACTCTAAATATGGATTGTATTTCAGTCATGTATTTGATATCTGAAGAGGGAGTCGTTCTCACTCACCTTATCAATCTTATGGACATTATCAGGGATAACCAGTGAGACTCAGCTCTCCGGTGTCCTCTGGACTCATGTCTCAGGGCTGCCAGAACAAAAGTCCGACAAACCAAGTAGCTTACAAAACCGGAATTTATTTTTTCCATAGCTCTGGGGGCTACACGTCCAAAATCAAATTTCAAAGAACTCCATGTTCTTCTCTTTGAAGCTTCTAGGGGAGAATCCTTCCTTCCTTCGTCCAGCTTTTATTCCCAGGCGTTCTTTGCATGTTTTCTCTTAAATTCCTCAAAGTTCTTCCATCCTTTTCTCTGTTACCCGCTTCCAAAGGCGCTTCCACATTTTCAGGCATTGATTACAGTAGCAGCCGACTTCTCAGGACCAAAATTTGTGATAGGTTCCTTCGGTTGCCATGAATAGTACTACAAAAAGGCTGGTTTAAAACATCAGGAATCTATTCTACAACAGCCCTGCCAGTCTAAGATCAAGGGGTTGGCAATGCCATGATCCCTCTGAAGCCCTGAGAGAGGAGTTCTTCCTGGTGTTTTCCAGCTTCTAGTAGCACCAGGCATTGATTGGCTTGTAGCCGTATACCTCCAGTCTCTGCTTCCGACTTTGTGTGCCCATCTTCCCTCTGTGTCTTTTTTCCTCTTCATGTGAGGACCCTGGTCATACTCAATGAAAGGTCTGCCCTATCCCAGTCTGACCGCATCTTAACACATCACATCTATATGGACCCTATTTCCAATTAAGGTCATGTTCTGAAGTTCCAGGAGGGACGTGAATTTGGGGTGGGTTTGGGGTGGGGGTGTGGATCACAGTCTAGCTTAGTTCACCAGCATGTCACCCTAGATAACTAAGACATCTCCGTTTAACATAACAGGTTGTAGGCTTCACCCCTCCGCTTTTGCTGTAGACTTTCTCTTCCCTTGTTTTCTTTTCTGCCTTTAACAGCGGTGACAGCTTTCTCTTATGTCCTTTTCCTACTTGTTGCTGAGGGTCAGAGACTCTTAGAAAAATGACTTCAGATAGGATCCTGCCCTTTATCTTTCTGACACAGTACTTTTACCTAGTAAACCCATTCGGCTTTCCAAATAGCAAACAAGCAAAAAAACCCACTGCCATGGAGTTGATGCCAACGTATGTGGTGGTTAAGCAGTGGGCTGCTAACTGCTAAAGGTCCGCTCTTGAAACCATCAGCTGCTCCCAGGGAGAAAGAAAGGGCTTTCTAGTCCCCGATGGAAACGCACAGGGGCAGTTCTGTACCCTGTGCTGCGACTCAGCATCGCCTGATGGCAGAGAGAGAGGAGGAGGCGGCCCTGTCATAAGATGTCTGGGGACAGGAGGAGAGGAGGGTGTGATGTTTTAGGGCAGGTCACCTTTGCTAGTACCTTTCTGCTTATAGTAGAACCTCAAAAATATTGTTTCTACTTAAAACTATTGTTTCTACTCATGGTTGAGTGTAACAAGGAATGTAAATAATAAGTGAAGTCTGTGGAGTTACTTTATATGTTTTAAAAGCAGAATCCTACAGTTTTTATAGTTTTTCTCAGTTCAGTTTCTATACAACTGCAATTCTATATGACACTACTTTTATTGAATATCTCAGGATAAATCATCATCAAATGTAAATACTCTGAGAAGACAGTTGTTGATTAAATGACAGAGAATTCCGAAGGAATTTCTGCAGTTCTACAGGAAGTAAGACATATTCTTGTATGCTTACAAGAAACTGTGCTTTCTGCTCATATTCCCCTTACTCCAAATAGAAATTGGCTTTAGAAACTCCAAACTGATAAACAGAAGTGCTTTAGAACAGGCTACCTTCACCTGCTTCTGTGTCCAAGCATCTTGGGGGTATTGCTTCCTCTTTGAATAGTAATTCCAACTAGATCTCAGGTATTAATGAATTCTCAGATCTTCAAAATACACTTTGGAATTTCCATGAACCAGTCCAGCGTAAGCCTCATAAGACTTGCTTTAAACCTGCGAGTCTGTGAGACACAGAGTGAAAATGTGACTTCTAGTCTTTTGGACCTTTCTCCTTTCAAGAAGAGGTGTGTTACGTTCTTTTCTGGAATTTCTGAGTACCAGTATTTTGTTACTCACCAACATGAATAACACTTTTTAGAGATCCTCTTTCCACGTGTCTGCATCATTATTGGTGGGACAGAACATTAAAGATCACCTAAATCAGTGTTTTCATTTGCTATGGTTCGGTGCTGTTGAGTCGGCCTCAGCTCTTAGCAACTCATCACACAGCGCAAGACGCTGCCCTTTCCTGTGCCCTTCCCGGTTATGTTGGAGCCCATCCTTTCAATCCAGCTTGTTGACAGCCTTCCTTTTTCTTCTCTTTTTTTTTTTGCTGTCTCTTTTCTTTACCAAATATGTTCTTCTTTGGGGATTGGGATTTCCTCTTAACAGGTCAAAGGAAGTCCCTGAGACAAAATCCTTTCTAAGGAACATTGTGACTACTTCCTCCAAGACAGATTTGTTTGTTCTTGCAATTCATGGTACTTTCAAAATGTTTCACCAACACTGTAATTCAAAGCCATCTCTTCTCTAGTCATCCTTGCTCAGATTCCATTCTCTGTCCAGCTTCATAGACACATGAGGCAATGGAAAGTACTAGGGCCTGGGTTAGTCCCACCATAATCCTCAAAGGGTGCTGCAGTATGTATGTTGTTTGAGTTTTTGACTGCTGGTCAAAAAGTTCATTGGTTATGGATCCAAGCAAAATGAAATAAATCTTTCACAACTTCAGCCTTCTCTCTGGTTTTCATGATAGTGTGTATTGATCCAGTTGTGGCTTTTGATTTTCTTTACCTGGACGGTGTGATTCATATGGAAGGCTGTAATCCTTGATCTTCATCAGCCAAGTACTTCAAGTCCTCCTTCAGTTCAGCAAGCAAAGTTGTGTCATTTGCATATCACAGGTTTCCTCCAATGAGGCTTCCTCCAGTCCTGACATGGCATTCTTTTTCATATGATTCAGCTTCTCAGAATTTTTGGTTGAATAATTACTGTGAAAGGATGCAACCCTGATACACATCTTTCCTGATTTTGAATCATGCAGTATCCCTTTATTTGATGCTCCCGTGTCTTTCAATATGTTGGTAATAGAATCCTCAATATTGTCATACAAGGGTTGCATTTTTCCAGTTCTTTCAGCTTTAAAGCGTGAAGGCATATTCTTCCCTTTTGGCTTTCTCACTCCAGGTCTTTGTGCAGTTCTTCGCAATGCTTGACTTTGTCTTTTTGAGCTGCCTTTTAACATTTTCCGTTTAGCTCTTTTACTTGACCATTTCTTTCACGTGTTCAAAAGTTAATTTTGGATTCTCTTCGGACATCCACTTTTATCTTTTCTTTCTTTCTTTTTTTCTTAAGTTTTTCATGATCTTTGGTTATCTTCATGTATGATGTTCTTAATGCCATTCCACAAATCATCTGGTCTTAGTGTTTAATGCATCCAGTCTCATTTAATAGATTGATAACTTGGAAATCAGGGTGACACAGGTAGGTAGGAGGAAAAGTAGGCATAGAACCAAATTCTTCTCTCATTAAGTACTTTCCAGTATATTTCACTGCTCTCTGCTTTTCTAAATAGTCATACGGTTTGCGAATGCTATATAGCATACTTTAAACAGAGTGTACTAAATGCTTTATATCTGCATATGAATCACTGTTTTCTCTCAAACATTATGAGTTTAGCGTGATGCCTCTAAACATGATGCGTACAGAGTGTTGCCTAGAGTGTTACCTCCCTATGTGAACAGGTAAGTGTCCAGCTGCTGTTACAGTTTTCACGTTGTGTGTTTTAGATGCAGCGATTCTTAGGAAGACCCCTTGTGAAAGAAGCCCACTTTAGACCTATACTCACGGTTCCCCCCATGCCTGCAGTTTGCTCTGGAGTCATCGCTGCACCTGCTGCACCGAGAGCCCCCCTGGTACAGAGCCGCATACACATTAATTCGTTCTTTATTGTACCGTAGATTTCTTGAGTGAATACATTCTTTTGTTTATTGAAATGATAGAATGATAATGATGGTAATGGTGGTAGTGATGATCATTTAATGGTAACTAAATGACTGTTTTGGTGTGAGGTACATATATTTTTTAATTATTCCTAGCTAAGCTTGTCAATACAAAAAATAAGTTACATTTTATATGAGAGAGCTTTATATAATTATAATTTACTTTGGTAATAGACAACAATTTGAGGTAGATTGATATTTTAAATCAACAATTCATTTTTAGCATACGTTTGCATAGATTTCAAAGCAAAGAGGTTGAATTATGACAAACATTATCATACCACAAAGATAGAGGAAAATGATGTTTACACATATGAGGGGGTACCCAAAACAAACTGGAATTTTTTTTTCAAAGCTACGTATTTAATTTTTTTTTTTTTAACAAAACAATCTTATCACCCTCAAAGTACTCTCCATTACACCTAATGCGTTTGTCAAATCTGCGATTCCATTCTTGGAAACATTTTTCAAACTGATCTGTTTGAATGGCAGACAATACCTTCCCTCGCTTTTTTCTTCAACTCTTCTATGTTGTTAAATCTCTGTCCTTTCCTGTCCCTCTTCATTCGTGGAAACCAAAAGAATCACACAGAGCGAGGCCTGGAGAGTCAGGTGTGTGGAGCAAGGGCGGTATGCTGCTTTTGCCAAAAGTTGGCGCACTGAGATGGCTGCATGATATGTACAACAGACCAAGCACCGCCCAGCGCTGGCCGTGCTCACAAGTGCCCTTCTGCTTGGGCCCTTGTTGCAGCCACCATCTAGTCAAGGGCTTCCCCCTTTTTTGCTGCCTCTCTCCTGTGCCAAGCATGATGTCCTTTGCCAGGAAGCGGTCTCTTCTGATGACCTGTCCAAAGTACATGAGACAGAGTTTCACCATCCTTGCTTCTAAGAAGCATTCTGCCTATCTACATCATCTCAGACAGATGTTTGGTTATTGGCAGTCCATGGTACTTTCAAAATTCTTCACCGCAACCTGATAGAAATGCACTGATTCTTCAGTCTTCTTTATTCAGTGTCAACTTTCACACACATAGGAGGTGACTGAAAATACTATTACCGTGTCTTGGGTCAGGTTCACCTTAGTCCTCAAAGCCACAGGCATAGAGGTTATTACTTACAGCACATATTTGGGGGAACATAATTCAATTGGAAACATTGTTGTGTTACAGTAAAACATGGGAACCTTATAAAAGGTTTATGTATATCTGTATTACTCTCCTTCACTTTTCATTTCGCCTACTTTCAGTCACTCGAGGTTTGGAAATGTCATGTTAGTCTCAGTCTTTGAAGCTGATGGGTTCCATTTTTCCTATTGCGAGCAGCTCTGTTCTCCTTGCAGATGACTGGCATCGCCTGGGCTGTGCCGGCCCCTGTGCGGGAGGCTCTGTCTCCCGGTGCAGTTCTGGGGAGTGACCGTACCACAGTGAATTGGGAGAGGCTTGTGGACAGACTGAAAACTGCCTTTCCACAGCAGTCCAGGTACCTAGTACTTATTTAGAGGTGGGCGCTGTGCTGCAATTTCCTTAGATAGATTCCTGACAAATATTTCACAGAAATTTAACATTCCCCCCGCCCCCCAGATCACAGACATCTCTGCATCATGACCTTGATAAAGAAAATGAAATCTTATTAAGATGGGATAGTGTTGTAGAAAACCCAAGCTTCTTCACTAATACTCATATTAACTTAAATCATAAAAGAATAATTTTTCTTAATTCAGATTTGCTCATCTCCTGAAAGTACAAGTAGTTGTAAACCTCTGCAGTGTTAATGCCAACCAACTACAACAATGAACTTGATAACCTACTGCCAACGTGGATCTTAAATTGACTGTATGCTAAGTAAGCCTACACAGCATCAGGTTTAGTTTTCTATGTTGTTAATTGTGTTGAAGTTCCTTACAGTTTCTTTGTTACAAAATACAATTAAAGGCAAGAAATCCTAGTTTCAGTATGTCTTTCACAGTTCTGACATTAGCAAGAGGATAGAATTCTATTCCAAGAGAAATGAAGATTCTTTATATCTGCTCTTATATTCAAGGAACTGATACTAGTTTTTAACCAGTGTTTTAAACACCAACAGGATTGGATTTTGTCTTTTTAAATACTACAAGAGCAAATAGATAATGAAAATAGAACGATGTAATGGTTGTTTTAAATCTGTTTACAAAATGTGTAAATAGCAAGGTCAGGGTTGTTTGAGAAGGTCAGCATTCACCTGACACTTCATTTGGGAAAGAGAAATATTTCATCTTCTCTTGTCCTACCAATAAGATAGATGAAAAGAAACATAATCAATACAAAGCTTTTAATCTTTGGTTTCCTGTTCCTTTTATTTTTCCCCCCGTTTCTGTGTGTTACAAAAAATAGAAGTATTTGCCTGATAGAAAAGAGAAACAAATGGTGATGTCATTAGAAAGGAATGTCCTAGTCCTGAGCAAAAGAACATTCAGATTTTGGGGGCGGTGTTGGGGTAGGGGTGTGGGGGGCTGTGGGCGGTGCGTGATTCAAAAGGGGAAATGCGTATCACTCGAGAACATTAAGGGAAAACTTTTGTTTTAATTTTGATTTGACATAAAAAATAAAAAATTAAAATAAAAAAAATGTCTGATTTGACATAAATGCAAATGGACCTGTGGTTACTCTTTTAGATTTGAGATCTGACATGTTACCTCTACATGCTCTGTATCAATCATGTGATAAGCTTTTATATCTTGTTTGAAGAGCACATCCTCGACAGTAGGAGAAATAACCGAGACCTCTTCCTTGGTCTCTTCCAGAAAAGAGCTCACAGATCTATTACAAAAAGTGAAGGATGCTAATGGGAAGTCGTTCTCTGCGCTGACATTTGATGAAGTTGTTTGCAAGATTTGCCAGCTCATTGAACCCGAAAGATCTCAGGTAAAGAAGCCGTCTCTTTGACCTCACTTCTAGGAGTTAGCTGTTTTAATGATCTCCATATCATGTTAGAAAATCGATAGCCTCTAATCACAATAATTCATCTATTAAGAGTAAATAATTCAACAGCGTCAATTTGAGAAATGATAAAGAAAACCTTTCCTTAAGAAATACTGCTGTCTCTACAGCAAGCTCTACCTTTATTACTCTGTAGGCCTCTCTCCGGCCCTCAGCCTCTGCCCTGCTCAGGCAATGTCAACAAAACTCTTGCAGGGCTGCCAATAAATACCCAGAGGGTATGCTACTCTGCTCTGAGCCTCACCCCAAAGGCACTCAGCTCCACCTCCAAGGGTCAGCAAATCCAGCTCCCCCAATTAAGTGCCCAGCGGCATCCCACTCTATAAGCCACCCTGCTGCCCCAAAGCACTGGATTTGACTAACTTGTGGGCTGGGAAATCCGCAGCTCTGTCTCACACTCTGACTCCTGGTTCTGCTGCCGCCGCCACTCCTCTGGTATCCAAGGAGGTTCCGTGCTCAGGACCTGCTTATTGCTCATGAGCTCTTCACCTTTCTACTTCTGAGATGGCTTCTTTTATAATCACTAGGCTTCCAATATCAGTTAGCTCTGTTAGCAGTTAACATAGATGAATCATATAACCCATACTGGTGTCTCTCCCACCTTCTTACCCGAGACCCATCAGGAAAAGGACGGTTGTTGGTCGGAGTCACAATGGTTATGGCTAGAAGAGTCATAGTAAACGATTCTAAAGTAAGACCGTCTCCTTGTAATTTACTCCAGGTTACTCTGAAAGAATCCCCTAGGGGGTGCTTAAAACTAATTTTATGAAAAGATGTTAATTAATAGAACATATAGAGGTATTTTTGTCATCACATGGCTCTGCTTCTATAAATAAGAATTTCTAAGAGTTTGGTTGAAAATTCTAAGGAATTTTCATGATTCTGACTGACTTTTACTTTTTGCTAATTCTTGCTATGCTCCCTTGCAAGCGAAATACTTCTGTTGTCACTGTTCAGAGCAATTGGAAAGGGAGAGCTAGAGGGAGGGAGAGACCAAGGACAGACATGCAGCACGCAAGAAGGTGAAGAAAGTCAGAGAGAGCGAAAACAAAGGAACCCCGTGTTAATAAACTTTTGGGACAGAAATAAATGATTATGTCTAAAAGGAGCCCGTACTACCCCCCACCCCTGCTGTGGCACCAGCAGAATGGTGAAGAGAGGTGGGGAGGTTTCTGTGAGGGGTCTTGAGAATGTGAAGTGTCCAATGGTTAGAGATGCTGGCTATGGCTGAGAGCTGTACCCTTTCGACATGTTTATAAAAAATTAAGTATAGTTTTCCTACTTCTAGACTCAAGATGAATCAGCACTGAGTGGGAATTGTGATTCACCCAGATATTCACCACAGCCAAATGCTGCCCAGTCCCCAAAACCAGCCTGGGGGACCCTCAGCTCACAAGGTTCTGACACATGGGAAGGGGCCAATAATTTGGTGAGAATGGAACTTTTGATTCTGAGCAAATTTTTATTTGGGGGAAATAAATGAGCTGGATTTAATTAACCTCACTTGTGTTTTCTCCAGGATGAAGATGAAGACGAAGAGGAACCTTGTGTGATCTGTCATGAGAATCTCTCTGCAGAAAACCTCTCTGTTTTACCCTGTGCTCACAAGTTCCATGCTCAAGTAACTGATTTTTCATATTTTACTGTTAACCAGCTTAGCGCCTGACCTCCGCTCACATGGGTAGATGGCATCATCCATTGCTGTGTCCCGCATTCTCACTGGGTGTGACGGTGGGCTTGTGGGCACCACACAAGAACCTGTTGCTTTATGGCTAGCCATGGATTACTCCATGCTTCCTGATCTCTCCAGACACGTTAGAAGAAAAGTGACCAATGTTGAGATTTCAATGACACAGAGTAGACCGTTCCTTTCACTAGGCTGGGAGGAATGTTGGTGACACAGCACACTTCCTGGCAGAACTAACAACAGTGCTACTTGAGCTTGAGTTGCCGTGAATATCAAACACTGTCCTTGTGTAAAAACCTGCACTCGTACCTATTAATCATGCCCTACCCTTATAAAGCCTAAGACTTATCTCAGCAGTCTGTCCAGGCTCCCAGATTTATCTTGGAAGATGCCCAGGCTTAACATGAGCATTTGTGGTTAGAAAAATGTGATGCTGGTATATCTTTTGTAGATTCGTGACATTCATATAGATTAATATCTGTTGTTGCTTCTGTGCAAGAACTATTGATACACAATTTATGTTCCAAGTCTTCTGTGGCAGAGATGTAACTTAACACGGGAAACAATAATCTTACACAAGAAATGTTCCTCAGGGAAGTGAGCAATAGCTAGTTCATTCAGACCATATCAGTAAAACATTGCCTCAAGTATATGTGATATCTAGTCTGATATATAAAGAGAGTTGTACAGAATGACCAATCCCGAAATATCTCTAGGAAAGATACTTCACCACTAGGTATTCTCATTTGTAGTTTTAAATTCCTCATCATTTAGGAACAGATTTTAAATAAAGCTTACTTTGTTGTCATTGCCCATTGAATAGAAAGCAAGTATTTTATTCATTTTGCTTTCTAGGGTCAAAGTTGATAGGCTTCATATATACGGCCTAGTCCTAATCCTTTCTTATCTGGCCTAGCCTTCCTGTAGTCAGGCAGAGAAACATTACTGGTTACAGGAGAGCCAGTATTCATATCAATGTCATGGACAAGGCATGCTCCCATCATTACCCAGGAAGGACCAATCTGGAAAGCATATCCCTCGCTTAGTAATTTTAACTTAAAATCCATATGCTCGTGATAGCAGACATTTTTGACTCCTGTATGCTTAGTCATGATTTTTACTTGGTTATGAAATGTGAAGAATCTATTATAAAATAAAGCAGAGAGAGAATAGAAGTATAGCAACTCTCTCTGATATCCTTAACAGCAAGAACTACAATCCATTTCCCAAACCATTGAGATTATTCTGAAAATCTGGATTGGCTCTTCGAGGTGCGAATATGAGTAGCATTATTATAGCTGAAAGAAGGTGGTCTGTGGTTAGCAGCCCGACTGCTCAGAGGATCTCAGGGAAGGAGCCAGGACGGTAGCATTTGACCGATTGATCTGCCAGATAGGACTTTAAGATCTAGCAGAAGACACGTTGGTTGGGATCCCTGTATAACAGCTACCTCTGCTAATCTGAATCTTAGAGACTGACATGGGTCTTTTGCTTCCTCAGTGCATTCAACCGTGGCTGATACAGCAGGGGACATGCCCAACCTGCAGACTCCATGTCTTCCTGCCAGAAGAATTCCCTGGTCCCTCCGGCCGGCAGTTATCCAAGATCTGATCCAAAGGGGTGACTGTGCTAAGCAAGTTCAGTTCAGATGCCAACATTTCTTTCTTTCAGTATGAGTCGATAGTGTGAGTGGTGTGCAGCATGCTCTTCAGAGCTGTGCAAAGGAAGCAAGTTAATTCTATCAAACTTGCAGACATAAAGCGTAGTATAGATCTCCAGGCTTATCAACTGAACTGTGCCGACTTAACTAGACTAGAATTTTAAGTTATAGAATGTTTGTTCCTATCTCAGTGGGTGTTTTCTTCCAATGTAAACATAAGTGTGAGAGTACCTCGTAGAAGTATTTCCTTCTCCTTTATACTATGCCACTCACTCTTTGATACTCTGCAAGTATACTGCATTTCAATGTTCGCAAAGAAATTTGAGCAAGGAAAAAAAAATGAGCAAGAATTACAATGCTAGCGTGGAGCACTCCCTTTAACTTTTAAAACTACTTACTACAAAGTTCAACTAATAGAATATTATCTGTTTGTTTGTTTGTTTTTCCCCATTTCCTTTCTGTGTTCTAAAAAGACACCCAAGTAGAGATCAAGAGCTATTTAAGGTTGGGGCCTTTGAATGTGATGTTGGAGCTGGCTAGTATTTGGTTTGTGAGAGATTACTTGTAAGGATTCAGAAAGCTTGCTAGTCGGTTGTCAAATCATTCAGAACTTAAAAATCTTCTGTCATGGAAGTATTCACACTATAGAAATTGGTAAATGTGATAAATAATAGTTCCTCTCCTGTGAACCTGGAGCCTTGGGGTGTAGTGGATCCTGTGAGGTCAGCAGTTTGAAACCACTGGCCTCTCTACAGGAGAAAGGTGAGGCTTTCTACTCCAGAAATTACTTACAGTTTTGGAAACTCTTGGTCCATTTCGACTCTGCCCTACAGAGTCGCTATGAGTTGGAATTGACTCAATGGCAGAGAGTTTGATTTTGGGATTTTGCCCTGAAGCAGCTGATTGTTGAACATTTGTTAGCATACACTGGGAACATGTTGGGTTTCGTCTTTGTCGTCCCAGTCATTTGCGTAGCACTTACATAAGTACTCCCAGTTCAGAAAGCCATAGGGAAGGAGTTCATATGCAAAGTAAATCACTTGTTCAGTTGAATAATTGAGACCCTGTGTTTACTTGTAAATATGCTAACTTTGGACCTTAATCATTTAAACTTTGGAGAGATTTATTTCTGCCGTAAAACTGTATGGTTTCATTTCTGATCTGAGCAAGGGAACTATAGCGTATGTCTGTGGTTGTCTCTGATGGCAGAGTTGATATCCTTGGCCTAAGTTCCATATCTACAGCTTGTCACCGAGAACTCTCAGTTGTATAGATGAGAAACCTGTTTTGAAGACTGTGTTGTGTAAATGCTTAAGTGATGTATATATGTTTTGCTTCACAAGTAAAAGAACTCAGAGTTAACATGTAATGCAAATGTGCCATAGCTTATATTCACTGTGTCAAACTCATTAACTTAAAGAAAGGAATAAATGATTCCTAATGCCACACCATTTTATCTATATATTTGATTGTAAATGTGTCCTGACACTACTTTAAATCACTATTAAAAGCTTTTGTTTCTGTTTAGTTAGATGTTTCTGTTTAGTTAGATCTTATATAATGAGAATGAACTGTAATGTGAAAAAATGAAACAAGGTAATACACTAGACATGTAAAATTCCAAGACTGTCTTACCATCACAGAATAAAGAATTTACAGGGTTTAGTAGTCATATCTTGTCTAGCATCCCAAGATTGTGATCATACAGCAAATGACTATGTAACAAAAATGTTTTTCAGTTCATGTGTACAATTGTAATTTCATTTATACTTGGGAAAGAATAAATCATTCTTGATTGAAATCTTTTCTCGTGTGTATTTCAGTTTAAATATGTGTCTGGTAGGTTAAAATGGAAGTACCTGGTAAAATCTGAAATGGCTGGCTTGAGTTCTGAGGTCTTTTTTGCTTTCACCGAAACAGCCATTTATCAGTGCAGATGTAACCACGTAGCGAAGGACATGGTTTTTCTCATGCTCAAGCAGTGTTCCTAAGAGGAGCCCCGACCTTGATCTAAATCTCCCATGGGACTACCCACAGGAAAAGTCCTGCTTGAACAGCCTGTTCTAAGGAAGTACTTAACCTTAGTGACTGCCGCGCTAGTGGCATGTACCCTAGCGATACCTGCTGTAACCACGCTAAGAAAGACACAGATGTGCTCGAAGCCCATTGCCTTGCATTCTCGCACTACTGGGATGACCTACTGTAGGATCATCTTGTTATAGGAAGGCCCACGTTGGGCTTGCCCTGTAAGGTACTGCTACAGGAAGTCCCTTCTTGTCAAGATCCCAGTGTGTCAACTGCCAACCGAGTTGTGTGTTTCAGGTTCTTCTTGCCCCTGGGGAGCCCTGGTGGCAGAGTGGGCTACTCATGGGACTGCTCGCTCAGCAGTGGAAGACCACCCACTGCTTCGCAGGATGAAGACGGCGCTTTCTAGTCCCGTGAAGATTCCCAGTCTCAGGAACTCACGTGAGCACTTCTACTCTGTTCTATAGGGTCTCCATGAGTCAGAAACAGCTTGATGACAGTGAGCTTGGTTATTTGTTTTATTATCCCCCATGAAATGTCCCTGACTCTTGCTCTGTGGAATTCAGTCTCTTCCTAAGCAGAGTGGTCTCATTACCGTCAATACAATTCCTAGCCTTTTTACTTTAACCGAGTTAAGTGTTCAGTATTCTGGGGAACATGTATTTAAAAGCTACTTTAAATCGTCATTTCAAATTTTTTTTCTGTATACATATCCTTAAACCTGTTTTTGTTTTTTGTATTGAGAATGGATAGGAAAATGCGAAGGAAAATATCTAGGAAGACAGCATTTACATCTGTTAAATGGCAAGCTCGTGGCCTTGTAGACTACCAGAGACTTTAGAGCCCTTTGCAAATCATCAAGCCTAAAGCCCATTGCCATGGAGAGCCAATTCCAACTCATAGTGACCCTATGGGACAGAGAATAAGCCCCCTGGGATTTCCCTTTCTGTAATCTGTATGCATGCATTTGATGGTGACAAAAATGAAACATGCAGCCAGAAGAACAAATAACTCTGTATTGGAAGAAGTGTTTCTTAGAAGGATGGTGAGACTTAATTTTACACATTGTGAGCATGATATCGGGAGAGACAAGGCCCTGGAGGACATCATGCTTGATAGAGGGATAGCGAAAAAGTATTTGTTGTGGGCAGATAAAGTCCAGGTTGATTAGAGAAATTCTAAGTTTATTTCTGCAAGCATTCAACAGAAGGAAACAACCTCCCAAGCTGCTTCCAAAATTCAGTGAGAAGCAAGCAGGTTATATGCTCTAAGCTATGTTGCAAGCTCCAGGGAATGTTCCACAGGGTTGTTACAGTGAAAAGTCATCACGTTAGAACAAAGACATGGTTCACAGAAAACAGGGAGACAACTTTGGGTTTTTCACTCCCTCAGGACGTAGGCTTCATCGTTTATCAAAATGGCCTTGCTCGCCCATGTTGCCCAAACTCACAGACGAACGTTAAAGAGAATTTCTCTGCAGGGGCTGTTGAATTTCGGTTTTTAGCTATCTAGATCCCACTCCTGCTGCATGCTACATTTCCAGGATTTAAGTAACCCTGTCCCTCCTTCTATCAGATTCCCACAATGACTGCAGTAATTGGGCTCCAATGTAGAAACCAGTATGAGGATGGTGTAGGATTGAGTAGCATTTTCCTATTTATTAAATAGTATGCTACTTAAAGCAACTTGAACCTTTAAGATCTTACTTTGATGCCTTGGATAAGGTTCAGGACACCTGTCGCTGTTTTAGCTAAATACAGAGATCAGGTTGATTCAAGAAATTCTAAGATTATTTCTGCAAGCACTTCACAGAAGGAATCAGAGGGGTTAAAGTCTCCCCAAACTGCTTCCAAAAATTCAGTGAATTTGGGCAAGCAAATTATAGACCCTCAACTTGGTGACAAATTGAGGGAATGTTGAACAAGTGTGTTACAATGAACAGAGAGCTCAGCAAGGGGACAAAGGCGGCACAGTTGGTTCACAGAAATGGGAGGCAGCCTCTCACTCCCTCAAGGTCTCAGGCTCCATTCTTTATCTACAAGGCCTGTCCTGTCCAGATGGCTTTGTACATCTGAACTTGCTGAATTAGAATATTCGTAAGTTTAAAAGGGAACTTTACTTCTAGAAAAGGGGTGGTTGTTACATTTAGATTTTTCTGAAAACCAAGTCTTAAACCGATCAGACCTCAAACCATGTCATGTATCCAGCATTGATTAACAGCAAGCTAACTGCCACCCCTTATCAACTTTATAATCATAAGTCAAAACGGATTGCTTTTGGGGTTCCAATTCGTACACACCCAGGCTTATTCCAAACGTAATGCAAGTGTAAACACATCTCTGTGATCAGGGCATGACTGCAGACAGGTTCCCTCAGTGATGCACTTTCTTAGCGTCCTTAGGTTGCTTAAAAAAAAAAAAAGTCCAATAAATCAAGGCTATGGTGTCTTACTTACAGCCTTGAAAACCCTGTAAGATAGTTCTACCCACTCCTATAGGATCTCTCTGATTCAGATTCAGCTGCAGGGAGGTTTCTTCATACTTTTTAAAGGAATTTTAAGATTGTGAATTAGGTGGGAAGGGGGTTACCTTTCAGACTATCAACTATGCGCTCAGCAGGGACAGCATCCATCAATACCACCAGCGTCCCTGCATTCTATCCCACCATCCCCCGTGATTTCTCTTCTTCCTCTTATGGAGCTCCATCCTCCCTTTCATGGCAGTCAGTACCTGTCAACAGACCGGTCCACTGCTTCGTCCTCCCACCCCGGCCCTCCCTGGCTTGGGAACCTCCAAAATCTGTTCCCTTCGGTATGCCAGTCTTTTTCTTGGATTTTACCCTTACAGTATAGGTCTCGTACAAGGTTCTGTTTGCGATGACTCGCTGTGCTCGGCATAATGTTCTCCATCCAGGCCCACCCATGCCATGAGACGTTTTGTGGTTTTCGTCATGTGTTTAAGCGACGTGTAGCATTCCATTGAACGTAAGTACCAAAGCTTCTTTCTTCATTCTGCAGGTGGGTACTTGGGCAATTTCCATCTTCTTGATCAGTGCTGTGGCGAACAAGGGCGTGCATGTGTCTGTTTGTGTTATGGCTCTGAACTCCTTTAGGGGGTATACCCAGTGAGGGATTGCTCGGCTCCATGGCCTTTCTAGTTTCAGTCAAGCTAGGTAGCAGCATAGTCGTCGTAGCCAGTCCCTGAGCTTCTCCAGCATTTGGATGTCACTATTCATCTAAGTGGTATCATTGTTTCGATTTGTGTTTCCTCGATGGCTAAGGATAATGAACATGTTACATGTTTTTTAGGCATTTGTATGTCATTTTATTGTAAATTGTCTATTCTTGTCTTTTGGCCACTTTTTAATTGAATTGTCAAATCTTCCCATTGTTTCCAACAATTTTGGTCAAGTCCCTGGGATTGTGTACATATAAAGCCATATCACCTGAAAATAGTGGATTTCGCGTCTTTGTGTCTTTAGATTCCTTGAGCTTTCTCTCGTCTCATGATTCCAGTTAAGACTTCCAGCGCACGGTTGAATAAGCGTGGTGATAACAGGCACAGGGCGGATTCTTTCACCTTTTCCCAGTTGAGTGAGAGACAGGAGTATGGACTTTGGGAAATGTCCCTTCTATTCCTATTTTGTTGTGTTCTTATCAAGTGTGGTTGTTGGATATTGTCTTTTCTGCAGTCATTTTTGTATGATCATATCTTTCTTAATCTTTGTCTTGTTTATGTGGTGAATTGTATAGATTATTT